CCTTCCTAAGTCGGGGATGGACAGAACCCCCTTTAGTAAAACGTGGTTTAGTGAAGCGACCTCGGAAGCCCACACCTGGTGGGCGCAAGCCTGGAAGATGACGGCCGCGGCGCCCTTTCGAGAACCGAAAACGGACACTCCACGAATCGACGGGTCAGGGTGGGGGTTCTGTCCACCCCCGACTAAGGGGAAGGGGACGGAGGGAGGAGGAGAATGGAGGAGGAGGAGGAAGGATAAGGTATGGAAGGAGGATAGAGGGAGGTTATGGGAGGAGGAGGTGGAGGGGGAGGAGGGGAGGGGGAGGAGGAGGAGGAGGAGGGGAGGAGGAGAGGGAGAGGAGTGGGAGGGAGGGAGGAGGAGGGGGAGAAGGGGGGGAGGAGGGGGAGGGGTGATGCTGGGACGGACGGGCCCTGGACCCCAGGGCCCCCCCCGGGACCAGCCAGGCCGCGGGCACCTGGAGGCGCACAGAGTGTCCCGAGACCGGCCACAGCGCCTCGATCCTCGAGCTCCTCCTCCTCCTCCCTCCTCCTCCTCCTCCTCCTGCCTCCTCCGCCTCCTCCTCCTCCTCCTCCTCTCCTCCTCCTCCTCTCCTCCTCCTCCTCCTCCTCCTCCTCCTCCTCCTCCTTCACTCCTCCTCCCCCCCCTCCTCCTCCTCCTCCTCCGCCTCCTCCTCCTCTCCTCCTCCTCCTCCTCCTCCTCCTCCCCCTCCCCTCCTCCTCCTCCTCTCCCCCCTCCTCCTCCTCCCCTCCTCCTCCTCCTTTTCGCTCCTCCGCCTCCGTTCCTCCTCCTCCTCCTCCTCCTCCTCCTCCTCCTCGTCCTCTTCGTACTTTCGTCCTCTGCCGTCCTCGTCGTCCTCGTCATCGTCCTCCTCCTCCTCCTCCTCCTCCTGCTGCTCCTCCTCCTCCTCCTTCCTCACTCCTCCTCCTCCTCCCCTCCCCCTCCTCCTCTTCGCTTTTCTCCTCCTCCTCCTCTGCTCCCCCCTCCTCCTCCTCTCCCCCTCCTCCTCCTCCTGCTCCACCTCCTCCCCCCCTCCTCCTCCGCTCCTCCCCCTCCCTCCTCCTCTCTCCTCCTCCTCCTCCTCTCCTCCTCCTGCCCGTCGTGCTCTCCGTCCTCGTCGTCCTCGTCGTCGTCTCCGCCCCTCCTCCTCCTGCTGCTCCTCCTCCTCCTCCACCTCCTCTTCCTTTTTCGCCTACTCCTGCTACTCCTGCTCTGCGCCTCCTGCCGTCGTTTCTGCAACACCGCTCGGGAGTCGGGGGCGGCGCAGCCCCCCCCCCCCCCCAGCACCACCTCTTCCTCCCGGCGGCAATCCCTTCCCCTCCGGAATCGCCACTGGACCTCCCCGGCGATGCACTATACTTAGGTCGGGCATGTCCTCCTACAGGGGGATTTTGGACGAATTATCCCAGTGCGACACTACCTAGGAGTTGGAGCATTTAGGAAAGCAACATGTACATCTACACCGACAGCTACATTGACATCTACACCTGCATCTACATCTACATCAACATCAACAGCGAGACTCACATATACATCTACATCTACACCTACATATACACCTACATCTACATCTACATCTACATCTACATCTACATCTACATCTACATCTACATCTACATCTACATCTACATCTACATCTACATCTACATCTACACCTGCATACACATCCACACCTACACCCACACCTACATCTACATCTACATCTACATCTCATCTACACTTTCGCATTGGTGTTGCTGTTGCTTTGATGTGCAGTGCCTTTGCTTTTGCTCTTGCCTGTGCTGTTGCCTTTGCCATTGCTTGTGTTTTTGCGTTTGCTGTTGCTCTTGCTTGGCTTTTGTGATTGGTTTTGCTTGATTATGGTTTTGCGTTGCCTGCGCACAGCTATGTTATGATATGCTATGCTGCGCTATGCTATGCTATGCTATGATATGCTATGCTATGCTGCGCTATGCTATGCTATGCTATGATATGCTGTGCTATGCTATACTGTTCTATGCTATGCTATGCTGCGCTGTGTGATGCTACGCAATGCTATGTTATGTTATGCTACGCTGCGCTATGTTATGCTATGACATTATATGATATGATATGATATGCTGAGCTATGTTATGCTATGTTTGGCTATGCTCTGCTCCGCTATGCTATGCCAATGCTGCGCTGCGCTATGCTGCGCTGGGCTAAGCTAAGCTAAGGTAAGCTAAGCTATGCTAAGCTACGCTGAGCTAAGCTAGGCTAGGCTAAGCTACGCTAAGCTAAGATGAGCTAAACTAAGCTAAGTCAAGCTAAGCTAAGCTAAGCTAAGCTAGGCTAGGCTAGGCAAAACTAAGCTAAGCTAAGCTAAACTACGCTAAGATGAGATAAGCTAAGCTAAGCTAAGCTAAGCTAAGCTAAACTACTGGAGGAACCACGGGGCGGATACTGGGGGAACCGCGGGGCGGATACTGGGGGAACCGCCCGGGGCGGGGCCCACTGCCCGGCCATTTAAGCATACCGAGTAAGAACCCTTCTAGGCAGAGCCTAGGTAGGGAAAAATAAAAAAGAGCCAATCAATATACCAACAAAAATGCAACAATTGTCAAAGAATCGTACCCCGACTATGTGTTACTATCTTTAAATATTCTTCCTGTGACAAGCCCGACTTAAACACTATACGCACAACAGCTCGAGGCGGACCCGGCCAAGGCGACGAGGGGCCGCCCGGAGGCACACAAAATGCCAGATTCGCTCGGCGAGGGGCCCGACAATACGAAACTGCGTGCAGCACAGGGCGTGACCCTCGCTTCAAAGACCGTGCGCAGGCTGGCGTTTCTGGCGCTGTTTCTGGGGATTCGCCCCGTGGCCACCTCGTGGCCGCTCCAGGTTTCGGCTTGCGTTTCAAGATGCCCGCGTAGTTTGTGCCACATAGGTTGCACCACCTGTATTGCACCGCGCAATTTGTGCGATATATGTTCGACCGATGAGATTACACCACTTGCGCCACATACGTTGCAACCCCACCATGGATTAAACAACGCAGGTTGCGCTACGTAGCTCGCACCAAATGTCTCGCTTGCACCACATGCTTGCGCAGTAAATACATACACGAGGGCAGCGTAGCAAGCACGCAGCAGCGCGCGAACCCCCCCGCGGGCACGAGAGGTCCGCATACGACTGCGCCCATTTAGGCGGTCACGGAGATTTTGTGGGGCACGATGTGCCTGGAGAGGAACGACGGGGTGCACGGAGGTCACTATGGGCACTTGCCCACTGGGCCGTCAGTGCAGCTCCCTGCGGGGCACGGGCCGCTGGGAGGTGCGCCGACATCGGCGGAGGCCCGCATGCGAAATTACCCACAGGGGTCGTAGGTGGAGTTCCCTGCGGCGCACGTGTGCCGAAATGGGCGGGGTGCCGCGCGCGCGGGCTGGAACTGGAGCTCCACATAGGGGCACAAATTGGGTGAAGGGTGTGCCGAAACAAGTGGACGTTCGCGTGCGTCCCCTCCCCCATGAAGCTGCCTGCAAAAACACGGAACGCGTAGTAAAGGAAGCGCTGAACTGAGCGGGGTGCCGCCTGCGCCTCTCCCCACCCCGCTGGGGGGCCGCCGGTGGAACCAACTGGAGCAAAACGCGTCAGGACGCATGGGGCTGCCGCTCCGGAGGCCGAAATCGTCCGCCCCCGCCTGGGCGTCCGGATTGCCTTGGGGAATACAAGCCTCCCATGCGGGGTCGGAACAGGTGGGGTCGGAGGGTCGCGCTGCATCGCCGATGCATCGGCGACGCATCGGCGATGTGTCGGCGATGCACCAGCGATGCACCGCCGACGTGGGCGATGCATCGGCGACGTCGACGCGGAGCAAATCGGGCTGCACATCGAGCCGCATCGGCGATGCATCGGCGGTGCGGCGCGATCCTCCGACACCATCTACTCCGACCCCCATATGTGAGGCCTAAAGGGGAGGGGGAAAAAAGGCAACTGCTGACGCTCTCCCCGTTTCTCTCGCTGGTTTTCCGAGGCCCCCGGCCTGCAACGCTGCCGGAGGCCGAATACTCTGGAGCCGCCGTTGCCTCGACTGGCCCGCGTCCGTCGTCGCCGAACGATGGGAATGGCAGTCCGCCGTCCTCAACTCAACTGGCACTCTTATACCTATACGACCACCCTGCGGGTGATAAGGAGGTGCGGGGGGGCAGCAGTGGGCAACAGTGGTGACTGTTGTTCTGACGATTCCTGTGGTGCGCAGTCTAGTGAGTAGTGCGATTGTGATCGTGAGCGTGATGTGATGCTGCGATGTTGACGAAGCGCGCTCGACATTGTCGTGAACCGCTGCCCCTGCGTGCGCTAATCAATCGCGCGAACCTCACGTCAGCAGCGCCAGTCGACGTGGTCGAACGTGCGCGCTGCGGTGCCACCCTGACTGCTGCTGGCGCCACCCGATGCTGCCTTGGTTGCAGGTCTTGCGCTCCTAGGGTGCATGTAAATTTGAATCAAGACACCAGCGGGACACCGCGGGGCACCGTTTGCCGGGAGAGACTTTTGGTCTGGCCGCGGCCCAGCCACAGGAGGATTGCGGGACACCAGCGGGACACTGTTTGCCGGTGGGGAGACTTTTGATCCGGCCGCGGCCCAACCACAGGAGGATTTCGGGACACCAGCGGGACACCAGCGGGACACCGCGGGCCACCGTTTGCCGGTGGAGGGATTTTTGGTCTGGCCGCGGCCCAGCCACAAGAGAATTTCCTCTCGCCCGCCCACGCAGCTTTGCCTCGCCCGCACGCACGCACGCACGCACGCACTGCACGCACGACACGAACCTGGAACCGAAACCGATTTCCCGGTAGGAGGGGCCTCCGCTTCACGTCGGACTCACCCCCAACCTCCGACCTGCTAGATACAAAAAGCAACAGCAGACAGATAAGACAGACGAAATCACAAGATCACAAAGGAGGGCCGCGGGGAGGGCAGCCGGGCACCACCCGCTTCTTCGGCGCGCCATCCTCCGCCCTCTTCGCGGCCTTCGCCGGCGCCGGCGCCGCGGCAGTGGCCTCAGGCGCAGGGAGAGGGGGCCTTCGCGTCCTCCTCGTCCTCCTCCTCCTCCTCCTCCCCCTCCTGCTGTTCCCATTCCTCCTCGTCTGGCCCCCACGAGGGCCCCAGGTCTCCCCAGACCGTCCACGAGCGCCCCGGGACGGCCCAGGATTGCCCCAGGACGATAAAGCTATCCTCAAGACGACGACCTAGGAGGCAAAACACACTGATCTTCCGTAGGATGGTTTTAGCGTCCTCGGCTTTCTGGGCTTCTGGCTCCAAGCAGTCCCAAGAGGACCCCAAGATCGCCCCACGACGGTCCAAGAGGCCCCCAAAGAGGCCCCCAAGCAGGGCCCAATACTGCTCAAGAGAGACCCAAGATGCCCCCAAGGCGCAAGAGGGCCCGTAGAGGGGCCCAAGAGGGAGGACACGACTTTACATGTCGAGCGTCTGCCCAAAGATAACTCCCGAAACCGCCAGCGGGCCCTCAAGCGGCCCCTCAAGAGGCCCTGGGAGCCTTCACGAGGCCCAGAGGAGGCCCCCAAGAGGCCCCCAAGAGGCTCCCGAGAGGCCCCTCGACACCTCAAAACTGTCTCCAAGAGGCTTCGGAGAGGCCTCCCAAGAGATCCCAACAGGTATCCAAGAAGTCGCTGACCCACAACCCAGGCACGGTGGCGGGATGGGCCGAAGGCCACTCGATTCGCCGCCCCCTGTGCTTGCCGCAAGGGTGCGCGGCGTGCCAGATGTTCGGTAGTTTCTGGTTCTTTTTGGGGGGTCCCAGTGGGCCTTCGGCCGAGCTCGCCACCCGGAGAGCCGCGCAAAGGCCTCAACGTCCACAACAAATACTCCCAAGACGGCCAAGATGGCCTCCATTACGACCAAGATGGCCGAAGATTGCCTCCAAGACAGTCCCCAAATGCCTCCAAGACGGCCAAGGATGCGCCCAAAAAGGGGCCCAAGATGGCCTCAAGATGGCCCAAAGACGGCCCAAGAAGCATCCAAAAGGCCTCCAAGACGGCCTAAGATGCCTCCAAGAGGTCTTCCAGGAAGGCCCGAAGAGGCCAAGATCACTAATCCCACCAGCCCTTTGGGCGTGAGTGGTTTAGCGAGCTCTCTCTGTCCTCAACCCCCCTTCTTCCCCTTCGGGGAGGGGTTTACCCCTCCCCCTACCCCCTCCCCCTGGACCTGGACAGGGAGTCCGGGGTGTAGTCAGGGGGGTCTTTTTTGACCCCTGGGAGGGCCAAAACACGATGACCCTCACGAGGATTCTGGCCCCGACGGGGGGATCCAGTTTGGCCCCTCTCCTCTTCTTTGAAGCCAACATCATTGATTATAGTACGGTTTTGGCCCCATTTTGGCCTCCTGAGGGGGCCGCGCTCATCTTCCTTCATAGCAAAATCATTGTTTTTACGCAGGTTTTGGGTTCATTTTGTCCTTCTCAGGGGGCAGCGCTCATTTGCGCTTCTGAGGAGGTCGCAAGAGGCCCCAAGATGGCCCCAAGAGGCCCCCAGGAGGCTCCCAAGAGGCCTCCAAGAGGCCCCCAAGAGGCCCCCAAGAGGCCCCCAAGAGGCCTCCCAAGAGGCCCCAAGAGGCCCCCAAGAGGCCCCCAAGAGGCCCCAAGAGGCCCCCAAGAGGCCCCCAAGAGGCCCCCAAGAGGCCCCCAGAGGCCCCACGAGGCCCCCAAGAGGCCCCCAAGAGGCCCCCAAGAGGCCCCCAAGAGGCCCCAAGAGGCTCCAAGGGCCCCCAAGAGGCCCGAGGAGCCCGAACGACTCACACCAGGACGAGGGGCCCGAACGACTCACACCACGAAGAGCCCGAACGACTCACACCACAAGGAGGGGCCCGAACGACTCACACCAGGACGAGGCGCCCGAACGACTCACACCACGAGGAGCCCGAACGACTCACACCACGACGCGGGCCCCGAACGACTCACACCACGAGGAGCCCGAACGAGTCACACCAGGAGGAGGGGCCCGAACGACTCACACCAGGATGAGGGGCCCGAACAACTCACACCACGAGAAGCCCGAACGACTCACACCAGGACGAAGAGCCCGAACGACTCACACCACGAAGAGCCCGAACGACTCACACCAGGAAGAAGGGCCCGAACGACTCACACCAGGACGAGAAACCCCAAACGACTCAAATCACGAGGAGCGCTTTCTCTCCCTCCTCCTCCGCCTCGTCCTTCTCCCGCTCCCCCCACAAGGAGGATGTACAAGGAGGCGGGAGGAAGGAGGAACAGGGGAGATATGCGGGGCCAAGCGGACACACGCCTGAATAACACGACTGTCGGCATGCTTCGCAAGAGTTGCTGCTGTGAGATGGGCTGGTGGGGATACGCGAAGCGTAAAAAATGTCTGTTAGAAGTTTGAAGGATGTTGGCATGTGCTTCTTTTTGGCCTTCTGACGGCCCAAGACGGCCTAAGGGGCCCAAGAGCGTTCGAGAGGCCTCCCGGATGGCCCCATGACGACCCAAAATGACCTCCAAGACGGCCCTGAAACGCCCCAAGAAGACCCCAAGGCGGCTCAAAGATGCCCCCAATGCGCTTCCGACGGCGCGAGACGGGCCAGGAACGTACTAAGACGGCCAAAGACGTCCCCCGAAGTCCCCCAAAGGCTCCCAAGAGGCCCAGTGAGGCCCCCAAGAGGCTGCTGAGGGGTCCCCAGGCAGGAAGCTCCCAGGTGATCCCAACAGTGCTCCGAGAGGCGCCCCAGAGGCCCCACCTCTTATTCCTTAAGTGCTGTACGCTGTGTGCTCCCACTCTGGGCCGCTAAGTACCGGCCGGCAGCCGCAACATCCGGGCCCTTCCATCCCACCTGCGAACAAAAAAGACGTACGACATCAGCGCTCTCCGACTCAACTGATGGGCAAACTTTCCACCACCACCACTACCACATGCAGGACGGGGGAGAGGGGAGGATGAGGAGGTCCTCCTCCTCCTCCTCCTCCTCCTCCTCCTCCTCCTCCTCCTCGTCCTGCATATTGTAGCGGTGGCGGAAGATTGGGCCATCATCCGAATTTGCTTTGTGCCGTCCGTATCGCGATCTGCGTGGTGAGAGCGGGGCGGGGCGCACATCCCGCGCAACAAGGCCGGCGTGTTCCTCTCGCGGCTCTCGGGCGCGGCGCGCGCCCGCCGCACGCGTTCTCGTCGACGCGCGCGCGGGGACGAGAAAACGTCGCTCTCGTCAAGCGCGCTGCGCAGATGCCACCTCAGAGCGGCGTTCCCGCCTCGACGCGGCGCATACCATCACTCACCAATGTTTGGGTGCCCGTGCGTGTGGGCGACTCAGCATAATCAAACATACGACCAAGAAAGAATATGAATCAAGAAAGCTGGGCCAGCTTTTTTTTTCAGCAGTTTCTTAAGGAAACGCTGGGCCAGCTTTTGGAGCCAAAAACGTACGTAATTCACTTCCAGGATCGAAAGCTACCTCTATCCTTAAGAACCTGGGCCAACTTTCCGGCAAATTGGTTAAGAGACGTTGGGCCAGTTTTTATGGTGGAGGTTTCTTAATCGTACGCGGGACCGCAGGTGCCCTCGCCCAAGTACCGTGCACATTTGGGTCGGACGTGGCGTTCTGGTGCGGGCGTGCCGCATGGCTCGTTCGCCGAAGATCCTGTGAACGACAACGGCAGCGGGGCCGCGCGAGAGCGGGCGAAATGCGGACTTCGCCGAAACGCCGCGCAGTTTGTCAGCGAATATGACAGTGCTGTGGAAGCGCGGCGCATGCTTCGTTTTCGCCGCGCCCATTGGAAGTCATGCCGCTCCCGCCCCTGCGCGGCCCGCGTCGGTTTCTCTTCGCCAGATCATCGGAAGCGGGACCGCGCGCGAGCGCTCTTCGTTTGCGAGGTGGGAGCGCGTGGGGCTCTGAAGAAAAAGAAATCCAATCAACCAGGCAGGCAAACCGCTGGAGGGCGCGAGCGGGCCAAACGCCCACTCTTGGCGGCCCCTCCTTGGGGTGTTCTTTTAAAACAACGAACGCCTTTTACATCGCGCCATGCGCGGGGCCCCGAAGAAAGAGAGAGAGAGAGAGAGAAAGAGAGAGAGAGAGAGAGAGAGAAAGAGAGAGAGAGAGAAAAAAAAAAGGAGAGAGAGAGAGAGAGAGAACTCCAACCATCCAAGCAGGCAAGCCGCCTGAGACATCCACGCGATTTGGGCGCGAACGGGCACCTGTCCCCACCCCCGGCGCCTCCTTGTGCATCAGTGCCACGCGTAAGCCGGCCTCCAGACCGCCCACGACGGCCCGAAAGGTCCGCCAGGAGGACCCCAAGCCCAGGAGGCCTCCCCGAGGTCTTTCAGGAAGGCCCAGGCGGGAAGGCCCAAAGAGGCCGAGACACTTGATTTTCCACTGGTGTTTTTCCGACGGCCCAGGGCGGCCCAAAAGGTCTCCAATACTGCCCCAAGATCACCCAAGCCTCCAAGATGGCCCCATGACGGCCCAAGAGGCCCCCCAAAGGCCCCCAAGACAACCCCAAGAGGACCTAGAGACGGTCCAAAAAGCCCCCGAGACGCTCAAGATGGCCTCCAGCACGGCCAAGACGGGCCCAAGAAAGCTCAAGATAGCCGCAAGATGCCTCCAAGACGGCTCAAGACAAGATGATCTCTAAATGGCCCAAGACAGCCAACAAGGCCCCCAAGATACCTCAAAGAGGTCCTCCAGGAAGGCCCGAAGAGGTCAAACTCAATGATTGTCTCTAGGTTTTGCTTAGTCATCAGATTCTGTCGTTTGCTCTTTTTCAGCGCTCATACAATGCAAAACAGCCTCGAAGGCCACCGAAATGGCCCAATATGCCCCCAAGACGACCCAAGGAGGGCCCTAAGACGGCCTAGGAGACTTTCAAGACGCCCAATATGGTCTTTAAGACGGCCCTGAAGCGCCCCAAGAGGGCCACAAGTCGGCCAAGAACGGCCCGCAAGACGGCTTCACGGCTTCCGACGGCGTCAGACGGGTCAGGAACGCCTTCAGACGTCCCAAGGAGCCTCCGAAGGCCCCCAAGAGGCCCAGTGAAACCCCCAAACGGCCTCCAAGAGGCCCCCAAGAGGCCACAAGAGTGCCTTTAGAGACTCCCAAGAGGCGTCTCTCTCCTCCTCCTCATTTTTCTTCCCTGTCCTCCTCTTCCTCTTTCTCCCCCTCATGTTCCCCGAAGTGTTTTCATAGCAGCTGGAGTGACACATAATCCGACAGCTTGGCCGAGCTCTGGCCGCAACGTTCGGCCTCATAGGCTCTTTGAAAATGCAGGGGCAGGGGGCGGCAGTGATTCGAAGTAGGCGTCTTCGATACTGCAATGGCAGATGACCTGGAATTCAAACGAGGACCACGTCGAGGTCCTCTGCGCGCGCCGCGTACACGCGCGGAATAAGCCGTCGGGGGCATCGGCCGGCGGAAGCGGTTTGGAGGGGGGGAGGGGTCTCAGCATCGTCAGACCTATCCCCATTCCCCAATGGGCCAGGTCTCCCTGGAACGCCACCAGCCCAGTTATACCACCTCGCGGTTGGGATGCGCATCTGGCCCTCGCCCATGTTACAAGGGAGGCGGGTCGGACAGAGGGGCCACAAGCCTTTCCCAGGGGGGTTTGGCCGGCGAGCCCCCCCCAGGGGGAGGGGGGAGGAGGACAAGTAGGAGGAGGAGGAGGAGGAGGAGGAGGAGGAGGAGGAGGAGGAGGAGGAGGAGGAGGAGGAAGAGGAGGAGGGAGCTCGCATCAGGGGAAGGCTAAGAATGCTATGACCTGCGTTCGAATACTTGGCGGGGCGGTCTTGCTTGTCCAGGCTGAGCAGCTGGCCCAGCAGCGGCGGCAGCGGGCAGGGACACCTGCCGTCTGCGCTGGAACCTACCTGGGTCGGGCTCTCTGTGAACCTGGCCGAAGTATCCAGACAAGTCACTCTGACGACGGACGAAGGGGGGAGGAAAACGAGGTGGGGGAGGAGGAGGGGCGACCACGCGCGAGGAGAAGGAGGCGGACGAGGGGGGGATGTCCGCTGTCCTCCGGAGCTCCGGAGCTGGTAGCACAAAACAGCCGGGCAGCCGTCGCGTGCCCAGATATCTGGCGTCTCGTCTCTGCTCGGGGTACGGGCCCTGCGACCTCTCGACCACCTCCTGGGGACCGGCTTCTCATCCCGAGCAGCTTTCGTGCGGTCCCCCGAGGCCTGGCAAGAGCCCCGAGAGTTAGGTCGGGCGTGTCCCCATACAGGCGGATTTTTGACGAAAAGGGAAAATCGTCAAACCATATACCAAAAAAGCTCAAGAATAGTGAAGGAATCGTCCCCTGACTATGTTTGGACTGTTTTGGAATATTCCTCCTGTAGAGGGACAAGCCCGAGTGAACCCGAGAGGCTGAAAATCATGCAGACCGGATGCCTGGGTTCATGTTGCCCCCATCGTACTGAAGGACCACATCCCAATTCGCCGGCCCAACGGGCCAGGGCGTGCTAAGATCTCCGGTAACTGGTTAACAGTATTAACAGTATTTCTAGTTCGCGCGCGCGGGGCGGCCCCTGGGGGTCCCCCGGCGAAAAGTACCCCGACCAACGCCCGACCGCCGCCCGACCGCCGCCCGACCAAGTCTACTCAGAGATGGTTTTCCTTCTGGGTGCGGCCTCTCAGGCTCCCCAGAGCGCGCTCAGAGTGCCCCAAGAGGCCCCCAAGACTGCCCAAGAGGCCCCCGAGACGCCCAAAGAGCGCTCGAAGACGCCGAAGATGACCCCAAGACGGCCCAAAAGGCCCCCAAGACAGCCCAAGAGGCCTCCAAGACGCCCCAAGAGCCTTCCAAGAGGCCTCCGAAGAGAGCCCCAAGAGGCCAAAATCGTTGATTTTCATTTGTTTTTTTTCGATGTTTTTGTGTTCTGGCTTTTTCGGCTTCCGGACGCTCCAAGACGGCCCAAGAGGCTCCCAATACCGCTCCAAGACGGCCCACGAGGCTCCCAAGAAGGCCCCGGAACGGCCCAGGAGGGCCCCCAAGACGGCCCAAGTGCCGCCCAAGACGGACCAAGTGGCCCCAAGACGGGCCCAAGAGGGGCTCAAGAGGGGAACCGAGAACTGAAAAATCGAGCCCTCCGCCCCAAAAGGCGCCCAGGAGGCCCCAAAAAGGCCCCAAGAGGCCCCCAAGAGGCCCCCAAGACGCCCCAAGAGGCCCAAGAGGCCCAAAAGAGGCCCCAAGAGGCCCCAAAACGGCCCCCAAGAGGCCCCCAAACTCGGCTAGCCCACAACGGTGCGACAATATGGGCCGGCGGAATGAGCGAAGCGATTAAATAATAATTTCGAGCGCCCGGAAAGGTGTCGAGAGAGTGTCGAAACAAAATCGAAACAGTGTCGGGCGAGTGACTGCCAGGGCCCGACACGGGAAAACCCTCGAGGTTCGGTGCTCTCTTGGTGCTCGAAATTCTTTCTGGTAGTCAAGGCTAAAATCTGGCGTTGGCAGAACTGGGTTTAGTGAACCTGGTTTAGTGATGTGTACTGGGGGAGGCCCCCCCGCCCCGTTCCACTAACCGGAACTGCCGTCACCCGAAAAACACCAACTACGGCAGACCTGGTTTAATGATTCTGGCCAATTCAAGGGCCCTGGGGCCCTACCGCTAACCGGGTCCTCTTACCTGGGGTCCTGGCTATACCCGATAAAGCAGGGTGGAACATCAGAAGCCTGGGTGTGGGCTCATCGCCCGACAGCCTGGCCCGGCTCCCCGCCTGACACGCCCAGGGCGTGTGCGCTCGACACGGCGGCTGGATGCATCTCCATCAGTCGTCAACGCGGCAGCCACGGGCAACGCTCTGGGCTTCCAGTTCGACAGCGCCCCTCGGGCGCGCTGCAGGTACTTTCACAAAGTACGCTCGGAGCCCTCCAGAATGGCAAAAGCGGGTTCTGCTCCCTGGCCTCTGCGCAGCCTCTGCGTTGAAGCATGTCTGCTTGAGGCTGCTAACCGTGTCAGCAGAGGCGCCCGAATTATCCAGGGTAACTCGGGCCTGGGGTATAACTCGGGCTTGGATTCCCGACAAGCGAACCCGAGTCAGCCCTGACCTGAGTTACCCCTGATGATTTGGGGCTCTGGACGCCCGAATCATCCGGGGTGACCCGGGGCCCGGGGTATAACTCGGGTTCGGATTCGCGAAACACGAACCCGAGTTGGCCCTGGCCCGAGTTGGCCCTGATGACTCGGGACTCTGACAGACATGTCTTGGACGACGGGGGGACCGGCTCAGGGGAGAGGGGGGGGAGCGTCGAGCTTGAATCGGCGACACATCGCCGATAGATCGGCGAGCGGCGGTGGACAAACCTGCCTTTCGTGAACCGCCCTCTAGTGCAAACAGCCTAGGACCGGAACCGACGGACCTGGACCGGCAAAAAGGACGGCCGCGACACCCCCCTCGCGAACCGAAAACGGCCAATTCGCTCATCGACGTGTCGGGGTAGGAGGTCGATCAACCTCCGAGGCGATATGCCCTCGGTGGCGAACACGCACATTCCTGGGCGAGGTGGGCGATCAGTCCCCTATCGGCGATGGGCTGGCAACCCGGGATCGCTGCTATTTCCCCCCCTGAGCCTATCCAGCCGTATCGTTCGGCGACTCCGAAAGGGTGTGGTGTGCAGAGGGTGTGGTTTGCAACCGGCACCCCGGCGTAACCCTGCCCCCGACTCCACTGCGATCCAGCGTTGCGCAAGAGCTGCAGCATCTCGAAAACCACCCGACCGAAGCCCTATAGACACCGCCTCACCGCGGCACTCTCCGAGCCGGATCGCTCCCGTGACAGTCCCCGGGGGCCGAGGCCCAGATCGTCCGGGACCCGACACCTCAGATAACCGATTCCGGTCGCGCCAGATGTCGGTCGCCAAATGAGGAGGAGGAGGAGGAAGAAGAGGAGGAGGAGGAGGGGGGGGAGGGAGGAGGGAGGAGGGAGGAGGGAGGAGGGAGGAGGGAGGAGGGAGGAGGGAGGAGGGAGGAGTGTCGGCGCGCAGGAATGCTTCTAAGACGCCTTCCCCTCTCTCCCTGCCCCTCTCTGCGCGTGGCCGAGTCTGAGCACGAGCGGAGCCGCGCGTGCAGGTCCGAGCGCGAACGATCCTGCCCACCACCACTTGGTTGTTGTGCTCCGCCCAGTGCTGCCACGTGCTCGCTGCTCGCTGGCCACTGCACTATCCGCGACCGGAAAGCGAAAGTCGGCAGCGGCCAGCTCGTCCAGAGCGCGACCGGAAATGCTCGGTCACGGGTGAGCTGGGAGCATGGCAGAAACGCCCCGAGTGAATTGCTCTGCAACGCCCGGATCACAGGGTCTGTCGCTGCCCCTTGGCGGCGGAGGCAAGGGGGTTGAGGGAGGAGGGGCGGCTCCTCAGGAGGCTGCTTTTCAGAAAGGCGGTGGCCGTGCATCTATAGACGCGGCCCCCCCGCCCCCTCTAAGAAGCAGGGGTGCTGCTAAGAAGCACCCCCCCCCCTCGCCACATCGCTCGGACGTCCATGCCCCGTGCCTTTGTTCGACGTCGTGCGCTGACTTGCTCCCAGGATAATCCAGGATGCTCCTCGATGGCCCTCGCCTTGTGTTGCTCCCATCGTACTTGCGGAGCACATCCAAGCAATCAATTCGAGCACCAGGGAAAGTGTCGAGAGAGTGTCGAAACAGTGTCGGGCGAGTGTCACACCCAGGGCCCGACATGTGAGTTTCCCTAAGGTTTTGGGATACTTTTCTGGCGCTCGAAACTTTTCTGGCGGTCAAAGCTAAAGTAGGTTGGAATATCATAGCCCACGCCGAGAAAAAATGCACACGTCCGAGCGATGCCGGAACCCGCCTTTGCGAGTGGCCGGGCCCCGCTGCTGCCGAGCGGCGGGCTGGCGTCGCCCGGGCCGCCCGGTCCTTGGCCGTGGCCCTCGCCGCCTTGGCCGCGTCGGCGGCCTCCTCGGCGCCACCTCGGCCGCGGGGCTGGCGGGGTCACCCGCGGGCCCGTGGCATTTCTAGAGGCCTCCTAGATTTAGGTCGGGCGTGTCCCCCTAGAGGCGAACTGTGGGCGAAAAACCAAGCATAGTCCAAACATACCCCCAGGTGATCAAACATAGTAGAAAAATCGTCCCAAGACAATTCGTTTACCATGTTTGAACACTCCTCCTGTAGAGGCCCACGCCCGACTTAACCCCAGGAAGCATTTAAGAACCCCCCCAGCGATATCTTAGCACCGCATTTTTATTCGATATTCCGAGGGGCCGAAATAACCGCACGATAGGTTTAGCACCCGGACACACAACAAATTCGCGGAGGCCTGGCCCCTGGGCTACAATCGAAATTCGAAATTCAAATCTGCGTGGCTCTCATGAAAGACTCAGGATGTCGCTTGCTGCTTGGAAAATTCATGCAAAGAAGGCCCAGAGGGGAAACCCCAGGTGACTTGGGCCCTGACAGGCCTTGGGCCCCGAGGGAAGGAGGGGGGCGCGGGAGGAGGGGGAGGAGGAGGAGGAGGAGGAGGAGGAGGAGGAGGGGGAGGAGGAGGAGGAGGAGGAGGAGGAGGAGGAGGAGGAGGAGGAGGAGGAGGGGGCAGGAGGAAGTTCGTGGGTGGAGGAGAGGAGGAGGAGGAGGATGAGGAGGAGGAGGAGGAGGAGGGCTCCTGGTGCCAGGTAACGCTTCCAGGGTGCGGAAGGGTTATCGATTTGCCGGAAGGGGGGGGGGGGGGTTCTTAAATGCTTCCTGGGGTTACTCGACCCTGGATGGAGTCCAAGAAGTAGATTGGGCCGGAGGCTCGCGCCGCACCGCGGAGACCTCGGCGCCGCACCCACGATGCACCGTCGACGTCGGCGATACTAGGGCGCAAACAAACATACCTCACTTTTGACCACCCTCGCTTCCAAGAGATACCAAGCGACGCCAAACTACGGCCTGCGCTGGTCAGGCCGCTTGAAGAGGAGGCGTGTGGTATGACTTGGTTTTGCCTGGAAGCGAAAGCGGGGTAGGTAATTCACGCTCTGAGATACACCGGCGACGCCGACGTGGAGCAGATCGGGCCCCACACCGAACCGCCTCGGCGATGCGTCGGCGACGCGGCGCGATGCTCCGACCCCGCAGGAGGAGGAGGAGGAGGAGGAGGAGGAGGAGGAGGAGGAGTAGAGGAGGAGGGGGAGGGAGGGGGAAGAGGAAGGAGGAGGAGGGGGAGGGGGGAAGAGGAGGAGGAGGAGAAGGAGGAGGAGGAGAGTCCCGGCGCCGGTGTGGGGCCACCCGCGGGCCCGTCGTGCCACCTCGTCGCGCGGAGGCGGGCGAAGCGCGCAGGAGGGGCCCCACGGGCCAAGAGTTCATGGGGCCCATGGACACACACAAATATATATATATATATATATATATATATATATATATACACACACACAAAAACACAAACACACACACAAATATACACACAGACACAGACACAGGCACAGACACAGACACATACACACATACACACAGGTCCCCGGATTCTCCAGGCTTTCCCATATCTGCTGGGTTCTGGTATTCCCCCCCCACTTCCCATGTTTCCCTTTATTTTCCTGGGAATCGACGGTTCATGGTGTCTGTGTGTCTTTCCCCTCCGGAAGAGTGGCTTGCAGGCCAAGACGCCACCGAAAGGCCACAAAGGAGCACCAAGAGGTACGATAACAGCAACGAAGCAACAGGAATGATGTCGAGCGCCGCGTCATGATTCGGACAAGCCTCGTGAAGTGCAGCCCTGGAGGCGCAAGAGTTTATGTCGGGGTCGGCGGATGCGGCGTAATCCTATAGAATCGACGACTCATGGTGTCTGTGTGTTTTTCCCCTCTGGAAGAGTGACTTGCGCAGATCTTCAGCGACCTGTCTCGTTCCATGCTAGGGGAACAAAAAGTGGCATAAACATAAAAACTCGGAGGTCCGCGCGGATTTCTCGGGTCGGCGCTGGACCCCCCTCCCTGGCGCGCGGAGCGCGCCAGGGGCGGCGCCGGAGGCGCCGCCACTTTTTGTTTTTATGTTTATGCCACTTTTGTTCCCCTAGCATTACAAGCCTCGAACTTATCCCTATCCCTAAGATTGACACGACAAAAAACGATGACAATCTTAGGGATGCGCCTTCAAGAAATAAGAGAATACCTAAGATTGGCATCGTGATGAGGAGATACCCAGGCTGGTAATCGCATGCAGGCGCTCTCCCTCGGTGCCGGCCTCCCGGGCCCGCCGACGGGCTGTGGCCCACCGACGGGCCCAGGGGCGCCGCTGGAGGCGCCGCCACGTGCTGAGGCCACCTCCTCCCTCCTCCCTCCTCCTCCTCCTCCTCCCTCCTCCCTCCTCCCCCTCCTCCCTCCTCCTCCCTCCCCCCTCCTCCCTCCTCCCTCCTCCCTCCTCCTACTCCTCTTCCTCCTCCTCCTCCTCCCCTCCCTCCTGCCTCCCTCCCTCCCTCCCTGCCTCCCTCCTCCCTCCTCCCTCCTGCCTCCCTGCCTCCCTCCCTCCCTCCCTCCCTCCCTCCCTCCCTCCTCCTCCTCCTCCTCCCTCCCTCCTCCTCCTCCTCCTCCTCCTCCTCCCTCCTCCTCCTCCTCCTCCTCCTCCTCCTCCTCCTCCTCACCCTGGACTGCTCGGGAGGCCCGTCGAGGCCAGCTGGGAGAGTGCCTGGGGGGCTGCCCGTGCGCGGCCCGCAGCCTTGCCAGGCGGCGCACGCCCTGTGCGATCCCGTGCAGGACAGCCGCGGCGCGCCTGAGCTGGAGCAAAGCGCGAGATCGGACTGGACAGGAAACGGATGTGATTAGAGGGAAAAGAGCGATGCACATACACCGATCCTGGCCAGGCCCATCCTGAGCCCAGGACCGGTGCATACGCCCTCCTACCTTGGCCAGGAAGGCATGTGCATCGATCATGGGTCGAGGATGGGCCTTGCCAGGATCGGTGCATGTGCAGAATTCTCTTCGCCCGAGGGCTCGGCAACGAGCCGTCCCGAGTCGAATGGGAACCCGATCGCCGCGCCTGGCTCTGGCTGGCCCTGGCCGATGCCGGTCAACCGAGCCGTCGAGGCGGAATCGCGGCCCCCGCCGTCAAATCGAGTCGCACCGGATACGACTGTCGGCGGCCCTGAGCGGCCAGTCACGCATCTACCACCAAGCCCACACGCAGAGCGGGCGCGCTCACGAGCGGCATCCTCGCATCTCGCGTTCTGTATGCCGTGCTCCGCGACTGGCCTTCTCACACTGTCGGGATATCTTTCGCACGGCTACAGTGGAGGTCGGTCTACAAGAAGCCTTCCACGGGAAACCCAACCCTGAGACCCCAGGGCGTCCATTGATTCCTGGTGTGGGAGCGTCGCGCTTCCCACAGCAGAACCGTCGAAACCCACGAAACCCAGGGCACCCTGGAGGCAAGCAGGGTGCTTCTTGGTGTGGGCCCCCACTGTAGAGTGCCCCCACGTGTCCGCGCTCCCCCTCCTCCCCCCTCCCCCTCCCCCCCCCCTCCCCTCCCCCCCCCCCCCTCCCCCCTCCCCCTCCCCCCTCCCCCCTCCTTCACAATTACTAAATATGAAAATACTCTCCCTCTTCCCCTGATGGCGTCCGGTGATGGCCGCGCACCCTCCGCGTACTGTTTTTTTACACACAGGATGCCTGGGAAATTCCCGGGAAACGACGACTCTCGCTGAGGCGCCGGCGTCATTTTTTTCCAAAATGCTGCTCTCGTTGAGGCGCCGGCCTCATTTCTGCTCCCGAATCGTTCCGAATCGTGCTCCCGCTGCAGCGTGGGCCTCATTTTCGGATCGGTGTTTGGCCTCCGTCGTTCAGGATGGCGTTCTCGCCCCAGCGCGGGCCTTTTTTCTCGCGCGCCCATCCGCCCCACCACCCACCACCACCACCACGACAACCACGCACACACGCACGCACGCACGCACGTGCACCACCACCCACTACGCACGCGCGCGCGGAGCCACAGGTCCGCTACGACACGCGTCCGCGGATAGAGAAAATCAGCGCCATGGTAAGGGATGGGAGGGAGGGGTAGGACGTCAGATATGACGCGAGCGCACCTAGCTTGTCCCTCCCCCTCCCCCTTCCCCCCCCCCCCCCCTCCCCCCCCCCCCTCCCACTCCCCTCTCCCCCTCCCCCCCCCTGCCTCGGAGGGCCGACGCCGTGGGAATCCAAAGCCTCCCTCCTTCTCCACGCCGACGGGCCGGCAGGCGGCACGCGCGCGCTCGCCCCGACCGACCGAAGGCCAGCAGACAACACTCCAACCCTCCTGTGCCTCGCAGGTGCACGGCCTCCAGTCTCGCTCCGACGGCCGCCCCATCCCCGAAGACGGGCTCAAGTACCCCTTGAAGCCTCTGGGGAGCTTGGTAGTCACTTGCCGTCGCTCGGACGTCCATTTCCCGTGCGTGTTTTTTTTGCTCGATGGTCCAGGATGGTCCTCGATGGTTCTTGCCGAAGAAAAATGCACACGTCCGAGCGATGCCAAGGTCATGCTTCCCTTTGGCTCCCCTCGCAGTGCACCAGCTCCTGGCACTGCGCAGTGGCCGCGTGCCTGCCCGAGGCCAACCATCGAGGCCCCCTAGACGGGGTCGGAGCACATGGGGGCGGAGGCCCCCGCCGCCTCGCCGACACATCGGCGGTGCGTCGGCGATGCACTGGCGATGCATCGCCGACGTCGGCGATGCCTCGGCGACGTCGGCGTGGAGCAGATCGGGCTCCACGTCGAGCCGCCTCGGCGATGCATCGGCGGTGCGCCGCGATGCTCCGACCCCATCTGCTCCGACCCCATCTGCGAGAAGCGTTTCACCGGTCCCCATCCCCAGCGGCGTGGCCTTGGCCCCACTGGCCGATTCACCCCCCTGGATGGCGATATAGGTCGTTTCCTTCGGGTTTCGAGGGGTGTCTCCCCAACTGGGGTGGTAATTTGGTGGGGGTCTCGAAGGGAATAGGGATGGACAACCAGGCTCACTGAGGCGGCGTCCTGGGACACCAAGCAACGCCCGAGGCGGGACAGTCCCGGGGGGGCGCCGGTCCCCCCCCGGAGATCCGGGCGCTGCAGCTCTTGTCACAACGAGCTCTTCGCCCGGCTTCGGGCCCTGGGATGGTCACAGACGTCGGGGGCGCGCGAACATGGATTAGCGATCCATGGATTTGGCGCGCGGCCGCCAAAACCATGGATCGGGGGAGGTGCCCTCCCCAAAATGCGACCGGTGCCGCCTCGCTCGGCGGCGGAAGTCTGCGAGTTCCCATGGAAACGAGACCCGTCGCTAATCCATGCCCCCTTAATCCATGTTTGCGATCGCCTGAGTCACAGCCGGTAGAGGGAAACAATTACTGAACACTCCCCCTCCGTCCCAACTCAAAGTTGGCACGCGCGGGGGCGACTGCGGTCGAGGTGCAACTCGTCAGACCCACCGCCAACTTTGAGCATTGGGGGGAGGGGGAGCCGTTGATAGATGAATGTGGCATGAGTCTTCGCTATTTTTCTCAACTGTCCTGTGGTGTTGGGTCCTCGTTTTGAAGAGACGGTCCCCGCGTTCCTCATTCCTGCCTCCTCCCTCCTCCATCATCATCGTCATCACCCGTTCCAGCACACCCCTCACACGTTTCGTGGTCCCATAGGGAGCTCCACCGAAGGCCCAAATGCCAGCGTTCGCATGCACCCACCGCACCCATCGTGGCACACCCCTCACACGTTTCGTGGCCCCACAGGGAGCCCCAGAAGGCGAAAATGCTAGCGCTCGCATGCGCCCACCGCGCCCATCTTGGCACACCACCACACGGAGCCCCATCGACGGCCCAAATGCCAGCGATCGCACGCGCCCCGCGCACCCATTTTGGCACGCCCCTCACACGTTTCGTGGCCCCACAGGGAGCGCTACCGAAGGCCCAAATGCCAGCGTTCGCATGCGCCTCCGCACCCATTTTGGCACGCCCCTCACACGCTTCGTGGTCCCATAGGGAGCCCCTCCGAAGGCCCAAATGCCAGCGTTCGCCCACCGCACCCATCTTGGCACACCCCTCATATGTTTCGTGGCCCAAATGCCAGCGGTCGCATGCGCCCACCGCACCCATCTTGGCACGCCCTTCACACGTTTCGCGGCCCCATAAGGAGCTCCTTCGAATGCGGTGCATACAACGACGGCGCTCACAACTGCATATGGTTGGGTCCTTCGCCAGGCTAATTTTCGGAGGCCTGGATTGACCGGGCTCGACACATGACGCAGAAATGCGGGGTCAAGTAGTCGAATTGTGATATCTCGCGGTGTTGTAATGTTTGCGCAGCGTCTGGTCTGATGGCAATATTGGAGGCTGCCGGGCCGGGGCCCCGCAATTCGCCCTTCGGGGGCACTCTTGGGCCCGCCTTGAGGCCCTCGTGGGCGCCGCTCTGGGGCCCACTGTTCGACCCCTATCAAGGCCTCGGGGCCCCGATGCTGCCGCCATCTGCAATTTTCTCGCCTGCTCCTTGGGGCCCTGACTCCCCAACCCATCCTCCCCACGGGGGCAACTCAGAGGCCCGCTTCTGGTCACTGGAATCATCGGGCAACGATGGGACGCCGCAAGCATGGCGTGGCTGCCAGAGGCAGGCATCACTGAGATGTACTGTGCTTGCCGCAAGTGAGACAGGACTGCCTCGGGTAGGGCGCCATCACGACCTGGTAAGTCGAACTGGGTCTCTAAGAGTACATCGGGACACCCTCCTGAAGTCGGTCGGGGACAGAGAGCACAGCAGAACATCGGCCTGGCCTGCCTCCCCACCCAAACATCCGACCTCACGAGATGTTCGTGACGCGGGCCCCCAGAGCTCTTGATCACACCCCGTGGGCGTTTCATCCTGAAGCGTTATTGTGGCCCTGGGGCCAGAATGAGGCTTTGCTTACTTGGGAGGATACAAGCGGGGGGAAGAGAGGGTGCGCAAGCTCGGTCGATGAGCCTATGAAGACCCCTCGCTCCGCAAACGGAGACGGATGGCGTGCGACAGTACGGCAACAAGAAGCTAGTGTGCAAGAGCTCTTTTGTGAATGGGGCTGAAGAGCACAAGGAAAGGGAACCCTGCAGAAGGCGCACCCCCTTTGCAGTGGAGGGGAAGGAGGAGGAGGAGGAGAAGGAGGAGGAGGAGGAGGAAGAGGAGAAGGAGGAGGAGGAAGAGGAGGAGGAGCCCTCGGCAACGTGCCCCGCCCCAGGGGGCACCTGCCGAGGATGAGGCGGAAGAGGACTCCAGTATCCGACGGCATGACCTTCTCAATCGGGCGTCTTTCCTCTGGATCTCGGCCCTCGGCGCCCCACCTCCGCGCCCCGGGGCCGTCGGAAAGGAATCCGGGCTGAAACACCTCCTCCTCCTCCTCCTCCTCCTCCTCCTCCTCCTCCTCCGGGGAGGCGGTCGGGGCTTCGAGGGCCGCAGGCGGAACAAAGTCAGACCGGCGGGTGCCAGGGGAGGCGTCGGCTACGCGCATTCAGCGGGACCGACCGTCGGGCCTACCACGGAATGTTCTTAGAACCCCCAAAAACGTTCTAAGAGCATAAACGATGTTCTTAGAACAGAAGTCCGATGTGTTAAAACAAGATAGTCCCAGCCAGACATGTTCCAAGAACATGTCGTGGAAGCCGCGAAAGGCTCTTAGAACATTGTTTGGTAGGCCTGTAGGCACGCCAGGACGCTTCGCCACTGCTTGAACGCAAGAACGGACCCTACTCCAGGCACGAGTGACCTGCGGTGCGCGACCTTCTCGGGGGGGGGCAGCGGGCAGGCCAAACCCGAGCGCGCAGGACGCTGCTAGCGGCAGGTCGGACCTGTCCCCCATACAGGCGGCTTGTGGACGAGAAATAAAAAATAGCCAAAACATGCTCCAAGAAGCGCCCAAGAGGGCTCCATGACGGCCCCAGAAGGGCCCACGACGGCCCAAGAGGCGCCCAGGATGTACCAAAATGGCCCTAGGAGTCCCCAAGAAACCCCGAGAGGCTCCAAGTGGCCCTCAAGAGGCCCCCAAAGGGCTCAAAAGCGCTCCCGAAGGCTTAGAATTTACCTCCTGCGCACCCCCCAGGAGGCCTCCAGGATGCCTCCTGCATGCCCCCCAAGAAGCCCTAAAGGCCCCCAAGAGGCTCAACAATCACCTCCAAGACGCCCCCCCAGGAGGCCTCGAAGATGCGGCGTGGAGGCCCCTCAAGAAGCATACGCAATGCCTCCAAGCTGTTTCCAAACCACTTACGTTTGAGCAAGCGCGCTGGGCGAACGCGTCCTTCTGACAGCGGGATCGTCCCGGATCGGCGGCACCGGCCGGAGCCCCTGCAATAGGCAAAACATGCACAACAAAAAAATCAAGAATAACAAACAAAATAGTCCCCGGATAATGATATTTAATAATGAAATAAATAATAAATAATACATCAAGAATAAACATATAACTAGAATTTGGACTATCGTTGAATATTCCTCCTGTAGATGGACAGGCCCGACTTGATGCTAGCGCGTCGCTCTCAAGCATCTCGGTACCCCAGCGTGCCGGCACCGGAGGTCGCTCCAGCGAGAAGGCACTCTCACGTTAGACGAGCGCGTTCCACTGGTCGCAGAGTTACTGCTCGCAAACGGCCTGCACCCGCCGCGGAGGATCTGCGACGTTTCACGCCGAGGCGACCGCGTGCTTTTCGGACGCTTGCGAGCAGGTGCTCTGCAATCCATGGAACGCGCTCGGTGATACGTGTAGCCGAAGCCAGCGGAAGCGTGCCGCACCCACCGGCGGCGGCCTTCGGCTGGCGCGGCTGCGTCGGCCCCCGGCTTCCTCCGCGCCTCGTCTGCCTCCCCGTCCTCGATGGCCGCCGCCGGCGCCCTGGGCGGCGGCACCAACGGGGCTGAGAATGTGAGCAATGCGTAGCGTTGGCCATGAGATGTGCCACTATGTTACGTTCGCTATTTGTATGGAAACCTGTCTTCGTCAAGATGTTTGCGGCTTAGCGGCAAACTGCGGCAGATAGCGGCAGATGGCGGCAACCGATTAGCGGCAAAGAGCCGCACACGCCCCGCGCCAACCGTGCGCCAGTCACCCCCTATTCGCCGCCACTGGGCGCTGAATGCCCCCTCAAACATCTCGTTGAACCCCAAGGCGTCCATGGAATGATTTTTGCATCCTAGACGAACTCTCCCAAACCCCGGATGCCGCCGATCACAATCGATACACCAGCACGGATCGTTTCGCCTGCTCGCCAGCCCGTATTGCAGCATGCCGCGGGTGTCGGCTCAGGACGCCGCGAGTCCGACGGCCGCAGGGCGGAGCGTGCACGGCGCGGATGGCCCCCCCGCTGCCGCCAACGTCGCCGTGCGTGCCCTGTCCGCGCAGCGCGGCAATCGAAGGCGTCACGGTTCCCGACGCGCGCCGGCTAACCAGGAACAGGGGACCCGGACCTCTTCTCGTCCCCTTTTGGCAAGGCTGTGCCGTACCCCCTTACCCCCCACGCCAAGAAGGCTGGCCCCATGCCCCCGCCCAGGGACACCTCCTGGGGGCCACGTCGGGGCCGACCTCGCAGCCACCACCGTCTCGATGCATGCGTCTGCTACCAGTGAAGGCCACAAGGAGGAATGCCATACTGGACTGGGCTAGGTATTCTTATACTTCTGCTCACTGTGAATGCTTGTATGCTGATTTGCGTCATATGCTCGAACCGATTTTCATATTGTGTTGTGGTCAAATATAAAGCCCCACGTGGCCTCAGGATGACTTCCACGACCAACAGACATCGGTCAGACTCAAATTTCCAAACGACCCAAACTCGCCCTATGCCCAGTGGGGATCCCTCTTTGGGCTGGTTTGGTCTTTTAGGCGCAAAAGAAGGGTGGTTGTAATGAGGAGGAAGACCAACAGGACTCAACATAATGAAATTATCTTTTCTGTTATCCCCTCGCCTACGCTCTAGTTGAACACACGTATCCCGAATCCCTTCCCAAAGCTACCTCGACAAAACGTTCGACCCCATTCTGGCGGCGGCGACGAGGACGGGACTAGGTCAGCAAAAGGGAAAGGAAGGGGCGGGAGAAGGAGGAAGAGGGGATATGGCTTGATGGGGCGGAAAAGGGGGGGGGGGGCAGATGGAGAAAAGGAGAGAGAGGGTGAGGGATCAGAGAACGGCACTGAGCCAGCTTGGGGAAGATAGTTATCCTGACCCAGCCATATGCAGTTGCAAACGATGCAGTTTGTTAGTCGTCTTCGGTGGAGCTCCCGATGGGGCCATGAAACGCGTGAGGAGCGTGCCGAAATGGATGCGGTTCCACCGTGCGCACGCAGCCACTGAGGCCTTCGGCGGAGCTCCCTATGAAGCCTCGAAGCGTGTGAGGGGTGTGCCGGACGGGGTGCGGGGCAGCCATGTGAACGCAATCAGTGGGGCCTTCGGTGGAGCTCCCCATGGGGCCACGAAGCGTGCGACGGGTGTGCCGAGATGGGTGGGGCCGCCAAGCGGACGCAGCCACTGGGGCCGCAGGTGGAGCCCCGTACGTGGGGCCACGGATCGTGTGAATGGTGCGCCAAAATGCGGGGTGGAACTGCATGCGGGCGCTGCCACTGGGGCCTTCGGTGAAGCTCCCTATGGGGCCACGAAGCGTGTGAGAGATGTGCCGAAACTGCGGGTGCGGGGCTGCCATGCGGGCGCTGCCACGTACCCTAGGTGGAGCCCCCTATTGGGGCCACGAAATGGCAGGAGGGAAGGGGAGAGGAGAGGAGAGGCGGAGACTGGGGGCGCTGCTAATTCAAAACGAAGACCCAACACCAAAGGATGGTTGGGAACAAAAGGAAGACGAGGACAAGCGCAAACATCCGCCAACAAATCATCCAACCGCGCGACGCCGCGCTCGCGGTTTCCCCGCCTTCCCTGAGAGAGAAAAAGAGGAGGACCAGGTGCAACAGTCAGAACAGAACAATGAGATTGCAAATGGTGCATCGGAGAGTCCGTCGAGCCGCTGTGAGCCTGTTTTTTGTTCGGGATAGCGGCCGTCATCGGCCCCGCCCCCCCCTGATGACGTCACGTTCCGTGCCGGCTGCGTCCGGGAATGCCTAGGGACGACCGAATTCAAGTAGGACCAGCATGTCGGTGGCGATCTGCACCACAGCGCTTGTGTACACCACAATGCTCGCGTGCGCCACAGCGCGCGTGTACACCACAACGAATGTGTACACCGCAACAGCCGTGTGCAACGCAGCGCCTGTGTACACCACAGTGCTTGTGTGCACCACATCGCTTGTGTACACCACAGTGAATGTGTACACCGCAACAGCCGTGTGCAACACAGCGCCTGTGGACACCACATTACTTGCGTGCACCACATCGCCTGTGGACACCACATCGAATGTGTACACCGCAGCAACCATACGAGACCTATGTTGCTTCGCAGCAGCAATTCGGCCCCTGACTTTCGTCTTGGGTTCGGTTTAGTGAAGTGATGAATTTCGGGGTCCTCGCGTGGGAACAAACATCACTTCACTAATGTGGGGCCCCTGGGGTCTCAGTGGGCCCTGGGGCCCAAAATTAGTGACGTGATGGTTTTCGGGCCTCGAAAGCCATGTACACCACAGCGCTTTGTACATCACGATGCTTGCATACACCACAGCGTCTGTGCACACCACGGTGCCTGTGTACACCACAGTACCCGCATGCAACGCAATGCTGGTGTACACCACACTGCATGCGTGCACAGGACAGGTAGGAGCATGTAAGTGAGGATTTACTGCAGACAGCTAACCACCACGCCAGGAACATGCGGATAGCAAAATACGATGTTCTTCTCTCCTCCCTCCTCCTCCTCCTCCTCCTCTTCTTCTTCTTCTTCTTTTCTGAGTATTATTTTTCTTATTATTATTATTATTCTTCTTCTTCTTTTTCCTCTTCTTTTTCTTCTTCTTATTCTTCCTCTTGTGATTCCTCTTCTTCTTCTTCTTCTTCCTCTTCTTCTTCTTCCACCTCCTCCCCCTCCTCCTCCTCCTCCCCCTCCTCCTCCTCCTCCTCCTCCTCCTCCTCCTCCTCCTCCTCCTCCTCCTCCTTCCTCCTCCTCTCCTCCTCCTTCCTCCTCCTCCTCCCTTCCTCCCTCCTCCTCCTCCTCCTCCTGTTCCTCCTCTTCTCTGGTCTCTCCCCCTCCTCCTCTCCTCCTCCTTTCCTCCTCCTCCTCCTCCTCCTCCTCCTTACCCTTCCCCTTTTCGTGCGTGTCGGCGCTACAGCGAACGCGCGCGTCTCGGCGTGCATCGCAAAATGGTTTGATAAATCAGTCCATTTGGTTCTCCGACGGCCAATTCTGCGGGAGCCTTTTGGTCGCATATGGGAAGAGTTAGGATGATGCGGGAGGGCCCGGGAAGCCTCGTAGATTCCGGCTTCGCTCCTTTTTCCATACGGACTCTTTGCCAAATCCGATATCCAACAAGTAACACGGTTGCTGTGGTGCGAACATGCGGAGTGATTTACACAGGCGCTGTTGTGCACGCGGGCACCGTAGTGTACACTGGTGCTGTGCTGCGCACGGTTGCTGTGGTGCACACTGGCGCCGTGGTGTGCGCAAGCGTTGTGGTGCACGCAAGCACTGTGGCACACACAAGCGCTGTGTTGCACGCGGCTGTTGTGGTGTAGACAGGCGCTGTGGTGTACACGCGCGCTGTGGTGCATGCAGGCACTGTGGTGTACACAGGCGCTGTGGTGCAAATCGCCACCAACATGCTGCTACTATCCGTCCCCGGTCATTTCTAAGCATTCCCAGACGCCGCCGGCGCGAAATGTGACGTCATCGGCCCACGGCCGTCATCCTGGGAGAATAAAAACCTGGGTCTACGCGGACACAGCGCCTTCCGCTCGAAGGATGGGTTTGCGATCGACGTCGTCGGCGTTGATCATCTTCTGGGCCCAACGTTCCTACTTAGCCCGCCCAACCACCGAAGGCGAAGCAAACCCGTGCACTCGGGTAACACTCCGGAGCGAGCGCGCAGTCGAAAGCAGGCGGCGCCCAAAGTGATAACGCTGGGTATTGAACCCCGTGCCCTGGCCCGTCGCACGCTTTCGCGGGCGCCTTTTCTGGGGAGACCTTCTGCCCGACAGAGGCCTCGGGGATTCACGTAACAACGGCGGAGGCAATCTATCCTCCTCGGCATCTACGTCGCAGTACGCAAGTGAATGCCCGCTGAAAGCCGCGGCGCCCCAGACACCGCCCCCGGGCCCGCGCCGCCCCCGCCGCCACTTTCGGGCACGGGCTCGGGCGCTAGGGCGGGGACACATTCGGCCTGCTTCTGGCGGGCCATTCTCGTCCAGGGGCACAAACGAGGGCGCGCCAGGGAGATCCGCGACCATGTCTGACAAGCCCCTCCGCGCCCAAAAATCACGACCTACGATCCACGCGCGCAGGCGGCAGATCCAATGGACACCCCCCCGCTCGCGCGGGCCGCGCGAGCTTCCACGTGCAAAATTTGTTTAAATTTGGGCCTTCCCCAAGCCGGCTGCCTCTCAAGCCCGGCAGTTTGCAAATTCGTTAATTGCCGTTCTTGCGCCATGTCTCGAAAATGGACTGGTTCGAACTGGCCCTGGCATGGCCCTTGGTTTTCCCACGCTGGCGGCCGATCCGCGCTTCGACCGCCGAAGCTCCCAGGCGCGACGTCTTGGCCGGGGCCGGGCGAGAGCTTCCCCGAGGCCCTATCGCGCAGCTCGCCGGGCCAGAGCGCCGACAACGCAGCGAGAGCGCCGTCGGCATCAGGGGGGGCCAGGGACGTGGCGACGCAGAAATATTCAGCGCACCCCGTGCTCCGACTCAAGAATCCAGCGATGGGCGCGGCCCCATAAATCGCGCGCCTGAATCTGCCGCCAGCGCCGG